CAGAAAGCTCAAATACTGGATTGGCCAGCTCAAAACCAGTCACCTGGCAACCCCACACCTTCTCTCTAAGAAGCGGGGCCACTACCTGGGAGAGTCTCTTGGGGAGCAGCGCCACCGGTGGGTGCCACAGTGGCACACATTCGAACAAGTGCACGTGACATCATCGTTGGTGCACAAGACAAAACTCACTCTGCTCATCGATGGAAAATCTTAGCGGGAACACTGCCTGCCAACATTTGCAGTCTATAGAGAACCTTATCACAGCACCTCACTACACTCCCCTGAATATTCTACAAGACATCAGGGACCACATCCCTACCCCTGCCACTTCACACCAGGGGACACTGAGAACCAACACAGCTTCACATGGAGTGACCGTGGCTAAAATGGGCATAAATATTTCTTCCCTCTGTTAAGTTCTATTCCATTAATTTATTAACTTTTTATATATTTGCTTTTAAATTGCACAGACTTTTCTTTCCACGGATTTTGTTACTGAATAAAATTCTATTATTTGAAAAATAATTCATCTTAATTGCTTCACAATATTAGCTGCAGAGTGCCTAGCAATTTTGAAAGCACCTGCTTTATTATTGTACAGTGACAACTAATTGGATCAGTGACAGTGTTACAATCAACCATACAGCAAACATAGCAACATTAATAGGTGAATTGACTGAGTTATAGTCTTAAATGTACTTGAAGCATTACACAGTTCCTAACAAGCCCCAAAACACCAGGCCAAGTGGCGCACAGTATTCCATAATGCATTACTGTGGCTTGCTGTTGAAGTGATCTTTCAAAGCCTTTTGGAGCCATACAGCTTCACATTGAGTGCTTCTAAGACACCTTGTGATGGGAGGTACAAACCCAACACTGGGGAGCTAAAGGTTAAGGAGCAGCTCTGGGCCCAGAAAAATGCTGCTGCTCCTGCTGGACAAGCTCAAAGAAGAGACTGAGCTCAAAAGAGGGCAATTTTTGGTTTGGGTAGATGGGGCATGAGAGCAGTTGTGTGCTGCAGGTTCCTGTCAGGAAGCCTCTCAGGTCCCATGCAGTTGGGCCTGGTCCTCAACCCTAAACCATCACAGGCCTTTCAATCGTGCAGACTGGCAGCAATGAGCCAAGACTCCAGAAGGATGCAGAAGTGAACTAGTGACATCAACAGTAACAAGAGCCACAGTAGACAATGTCCCAGGAAGCATGCACGGGGGCATCCACCGCCTCCCCCCCAGGCTTCATGTTTTTAATTACTACTTCATTGGGTCTTGGGGTGGAATCTGGTAGAGCAGAGTAGTTAGGTTCCCCTAATCCCAAATATCTGATGTTCACCATCAGGAAATGTGAACACTTACAGCAGAACTGGCTCTGAACCCCAGCCATCAACAGTCCCCCAGAATCACTATTGGAATTTCAATATCACTGATGAAAATCCAGGGGGGGGGAGAGGGGAGAGAGAGACAGTCCCTGCTTGTAGCTCTCTCAACAGTCCTATAGCCTTAAAGATGGAAGAGTCATGCACCTTCCTGACCAACTAACATCAAAGATGGTGAGGCCTCCTCAGTGATCCAACACTTTAATCATAAAAAAGCCCTTTCTCTTCCTATTGTGTATAGCAAGGTGTTGAGGTGCCAAAATAGGAATATGTGAGCCACCTATCACTTCACCACAGCTAGGGAACCCCATTTGCTGGAAATCTATCCATCCACCATGGCTTGAACATTGCCAAATTCCTGCATAGCAAGAGACAATTAATGCCCTCACACTTGTATGACAACTGGTCCCCCCCGTCCCCGTCCCCCGAGCAGATTTTCCAACTTCAGAATTATTTCCCAGGGACTGGTAGCTTTCTAGCAATGCAAATTTCCACACCTCAATCACCACTTGCTTCTCCACATTCAGTGCAGCTCTCATTCTGGTGTCCTTGCACTGGAAGAATTTTTTAGTTTGGCCCACAGGTCTAAGAACATGGTCTTGTGCATCTCAAAGTATGGCAGCTAGGGCTCATCATCCCATGCCTGCGTTATGATGCAATCCCTCTCGTCAGTGCCCATTTCTCTATGCCCAAAGTGGCACTTTACCATCTGCAGCTGCACTATGAATGCCAGCAACAACAATGAACTGGTTCTATGTCTCACAGCAATCTGTCCTCCACAAAATCATCTTGTTCCTTGCTGATTTTGTTCCCTTCATGGCTCTGCAAGATATCAGAGTATCATGTGTCCTGTGCTTGTAACATTTGACATTAGGGCAGACTTGTGCGTACTCCATGCTTCTGTCAAATATGGCCAACAGCAAGGAGGGCAAGGTGGGTTTGTGGGATTTTTTTTAAGACAACATTATAGAATTGAGATAGTTACACACTAGGAAGTTGACCTCTTGACCCCAGTCAGACTTGCATGCCAACATTTTGTGAGAAATAGTGCATTGGAGTATAAGATCCCTAACTATGGTGCACCACACTATGCACTCTTGGTAAGTAATTGCAGCACAAACAGGAGCCAGATATGCATACACAAAACTAATTTTGGTGGCTCTGTGCGGACTTAACTTGTACAGGCCGTCCCCGGGTTACATGGATCCAACTTACATCGGATCCCTACTTACAAAGGGGGTGAGGCCACCCCCCCAGCAGACCGCTGAGACGCGCCGCGGTCCCGCCGCCCGCGTCCTCCACGGCGAGAAAAGATGCTCCGCGTCTCCCTGGTCTGCAGGACTGAGGGAAGTGAGGTGTGGAAGAATAAAACTGAGCTCTGGAGAAATGTTTGGCTAGAGTTTCCCCTACAACCGTGGTCCCCAACACGGTGCCCGCGGGGGCATTTCCATGCGCCCGCCAGATGCTCGGGGCTGGGCGGGGGGAAGCGCCGGCCCCGGGCGCGCGGCGCTGGCGTGGGGAAGCGCCGGCCTCGGATGCCTGGCTGGAGGGCCGCCCCCGGGCATGCGGCTATGTGGGGGGCCGCCCCTGGGGCGCAAGTGTCCCCGCCCCCTGGCGCCCAGCGGGCGAACGGCCCCGCCCCCTGGCGTCCGGCAACCTTGAAAGGTTGGGGACCACTGCCCTACAATATGTACCAGTTCCGACTTACATACAAATTAAACTTAAGAACAAACCTACAGTCCCTATCTTGTACGTAACCCGGGGACTTTCTGTATTGACCAAAATTTGTCGTGTATACATGGCCTAGAAGGCTGGGAGCTACAGTGTGGAGGACTAAGATTAAAGTTAAGAGTCCTAGCACAAGTCCCCAATTCCTTGTTTATGCATCCCACAGACAGATTATTCTCCCCTCCGGCAGAAAGAGGAAACAATGCATCCTTCATGATTCTTCCTCCCTCCAGCATATCACTTAAAATGCATCAGTGCAAGCTTTCAGCAGATTGACTATGGACTCAGGTATCCATGATACATGTGGAGCAGTGGGAGAGACTAAATCTATGTTGAACTGACTAGGGCACCACCACTTATAAACACACACCAAATCTTACCCCTTTTTCCACATGAGCACATACAAAGTGTCAAATCTAAGACGATCAAAAGGGCGGCAAAAACTCATACAGGGTTTGTTGGTAATATCTATCTTTTCAAAGTCCATCATCCAAGTTTTCAGTTATTGTGTGTGTAAAGGGGAAAACAGAGAAAGGTATCGCTGAATAAACAGGCAAAGAACGATATTTTTAGGACTCCAATGGAAAGTTCTAACACTGCAGCCACCGAAAATAAAGTAATAAAAAAAAATGATGAAGGAAGAGCTTTGAATGCAGGACCAAAGCAAAATGCCACTTCATACTGCAATCACTGGACTTGACCTTTTGCCCAGATCACAACTTTAACTGCAAACAGTGTCTCGCACCCATCTTTTAAACTTTTGTCAGTTTAGTACTTATTGACCGAAGAGACCAATGGCATTGCCTTGAATCAGAAACAGGTACAATGACAGCTTAAAAAAAAGCAGACAATACACCTCAATCCCCTCTTACTTCTCAACCTCAAGTAACTTCTGAATGGAGCAATTTTCAGATGTAGAAGTGACAAAGTAAGTTCAAAGGTTAAACTAATTTTCACATGTAATTCAAGGCAGGATTTGAATTCAGGCCCACAGTGGCAATAGAGAAGAATTTGTGCACTAACTCACTGTGCCTCTTAGTCCTCATAAACACATCTTTATAGACCAAAGGGAATAGTGGCAAGTTTTGATCTAGTCTTGTCAACATTATTTTCATTCTCTCTCTCACACGCATACACACCACACACTCACAGATGAATGTGAGTATCCTCCAGCACATGACCTCCAGCAAGCAAAAGGATGAACAGCTCTCTTGAAAAGCAATGACACTTTGTGGAACAATTGAAAGGGTGGGAAAAAGAATCCTAATACATTCTCAGACTGCAGTACAATGCTTTGCAGCTGCACGACAAAGAAATACTGCTGCAAGCTTTGACTTCCCATCACTGATTTTACTGAAATGAAGCCCTAAATTATACAAAAAAAAAAAAATCAAGCCAGCCTACTTTCAACAGCCCCTCCCCCATCCAAATCCTGCCCCTGCACAAGAACAAAAACACAAAAAGTTTGTTTAAAAAAACAAAAACAAAAAACCAAAAACCCACACTTGAAGTCTCCTTTCACAAATCCCACTGAAGTCAAGGTAGCAAGGTTCCCCAGCCAATACCACGCCTTTTCTTCAAGTTCCCTGTGTTTCTCAGAAGGCATCTATAATGTACTCAAGAGCATGACAGTGAATAATAACTTTGAGAATATTCTCTCTCTCTGTAAGCACCAATCATCAGCGTATTTTCCCCATAAACACACAGAAGTCAGAGGAAAAAGACTACAGACATAAGCTTCATTAGTACGTTTACTATCTAGAGCATCACTATTTGATAGATATACATACATTTCTACCTACTTTTAATGCCCATTGTCAAGAGCGTAGCACAAATCATGTATTTCTAGCAATTTTTCAATCTATTCTATCAGATGCCAATTTGACAAAGTCATTATTCTGAGCAACACTGCATTGTACATGACAGCAAAATATTTTAAACAACTAAATTTTGCTTAGCACATTAGAACGTGATCTATTATATAAATGTGCTGAAATTATATTCTACTGAATTTTTAATAAGACACTGATGTTGGAACAGCACCTTGGAAAATGAAATACAGGCACTATAAGTTTCACAAAGCCAGACAGGTCATATAAAGCTCCACTTTTGTAATGACAACAACATTAGAAAAACTTTTAGGCCAGCACCTGCAAACTACCACCTTACCTCTTGGGATAAGAAAGGGATGACTTGTGCACATATAGCATTCAGCCTCTTGACAATTTCTGCCTGCATAAAAGAAGAAGAAAGTTAGTGGATTCTATATTTCTCAAATGTTAATGTAATCACATGAAAAGCTAACATATCAAATAACATCTCTCAGTGGTTTTTGTGTAATCCTGGTCAAACTGGAATACTTAATAAGAATAAAAAAATAATTCAGTGACCTAATTCAAAAACGGGTAATGGCTATTGTTAGTTATTCACCCCTCACATTTTAAAGAGTTTCCTCACAAAACAACTTTTGAGCTTCTATGTGGTCCAAAGAAAATTTCATTTCTATGACAAAATCAGAAACGTTTCATGAATTTTCCAGGAGGAGCAGCAAATAAACCAACCATTCTCTTTTTCCAGTACTATTTTCAAACCTTAAAAAAACCTCTCAATTGTGAGATGGGTATAAATACATAGAGAAAAAGAATTTCTGAACTAAAAAATGTATTGGGAGCTTTACGACTTCACTGAAGTTAATGTAGACAGACACTGTCGTTTGAGATTCTGGTTTTAGAAAAATAAGTAATACAGTAAAACTCCAACTGTCCAGCATCCAATTGTCCGGCACTTCCAATAGTCCAGCATCAACTAGAACCCGGAAGTGCTCCGGCCAGCCGGACAATTGGAGCTGCTCCGTGCCACTTCTTCAAGTCTGTTGCTGCCGCTGCTGAAACTGACCAGCTGCGGACTTGGGGAAGCGGTGCGGAGCAGAGCAGCTGGGGCACAGCCGGGTTGGTCCCGCAGCGCCACCCCTCACCCCCTGCTCACCGCCCAGCCGCATCCCAGCTGCTCTGCCCCAGGGCTTGCCCAAGTCCGCCGCTGGTCAGTTTCAGCAGCTGCAGACTTGGGGAAGCCGTGGGGCAGAACAGCTGGGGTGCTGCCAGGTTGGTCCCGCAGCACCGCCCCTCACCAACACCCAGCTCGCCCCACGCCGCACCGTTCCCCACCCGACACCCCCCCCCTCCAGACCCGTCACAGTCCCCCTGCCGGAGTACTTCCTGATACTCCGGCATATCCGATAATCCGGCACCCCCTGGATAGCAGGTTTAAAACAAATAAAAGAAAGTTCTTCTTCACACAACGTGTAGTCAACCTGTGGAACTCCTTGCCAGAGGAGGCTGTGAAGGGTAGGACTATAATAGCGGTTAAAGAGAAGCTAGATAATTTCATGGAGGTTAGGTCCATAAAAGGCTATTAGCCAGGGGATAAAATGGTGTCCTTGGCCTCTGTTTTTCAGAGGCTGGAGAGAGATAGCAGGAGACAAATCGCTTGATCATTGTCTTCGGTCCACCCTCTCTGGGGCACCTGGTGCTAGCCACTGTCGGTAGACAGGATATTGGGCTAGAAGGACCTTTGGTCTGACCCAGTACGGCCGTTCTTATGTCCCAAAGGTGCCGGATTATCGGAAGTCTGCTGTACTTAGATTTTTTTTATAGCAGTTCCCCTGATTAAAACTAGAGAGAGTCATTCCACTGAAATCAACTGCTTCCCTGGAATTACTCTGGATTTAGATCAGTGCAACTGATCATAATCGGATTCTCTATATTATATTTCCATATACAGTAGATGGATTATTATAGATATTTAACCTGCACATTTTAATATAGGTAAGGGAGATACCACAGCAGTTATAATTACAGGGACCTTTTTAAAATAAATTCTACATAAGGTCAGTTCCTCATTACACAGGAGGACAAAATGTCTTTTGCTTGCAAAGTCATTACCAGAATGACAGAAACATTCATACTTGTGCAATCTAAGTTTCCTTCTTTCATCGGCAACCCTTTCAATCTTCTTGCTATGCAACCTTTTAAATGACAAAACCTTAAAAAAAATTATGTAACCAACAGACGATCACAGAACTGCTAACAAAGTATCTATCACTCTATATAAAAATCCACATTAATGAAACATGGTTATACAGCTATGTTATCAGAAGTCATGATATGCTACAGCCATGGCTTCAGGTGACATTTTAACTTCACCCCTTCCGTGTGTATGATACTTTTCAACAACCACATACTGCACATTTTCTGGTTATCTAGCTGTACAGCCCACAAGTGCACTTTAAGAGCTTACACAGTTAACTACAAAGCTAATTTACCTGCAAATTTAACTGACCTACATAGCCTGCAGTTTTTCACAATATTCTACAGTACGTCTCTTATGTATTATATTGAGTAAATACAGTTTATGATGTTCTTTTCATCTAGGAACAAGGAGATTGAGTTGTAGGTGCTAAAATTAATGCTTCTGGAGCATTTCCTAACTTGAGGGTTTAGCAACCATACAATTTTTTATACAGAATTTCCTAGGTTTATTTAAAAAAGCAACAAGAATAAGTTATAGACACTGCTATTCTTTCATGAGGCAGACCCCTGCATCTGCGAGGAACCCCACTCTCTTTAACCAGGCTCCTCTGAGTCCCTCACAAAGCATAGATCCTTGTACAGTGAAGGGGAAAGGCTCACAAAAATCACAGATTTTTAAGCAAAGAGACCTATGACCTCCCTTACACAGGCCATAGAATTTCACCAATTGATTCCTGAATCATGTTTAGAACTTCTTGTTGAGCTACAGCATGGTTTTTGATGTGGCTAAACTATTTTATCCAGCATACATAAAAGGCATTTCACCCCAGTTACAGTTCTGTCCATATTATGTCAACATTGAAGCACAGCTGTTTCAACTATGCAACTATTTAAAAAAAAAAAAAAAAAAAGAGTTGCAAGATTTTTCTTCCATGAGAAAAATAATTTCTCCTTTCCCACACAACCACACAACTCTTCCACCCTCTCCCATCTCCTTTGGCAAAAACAGTTGAATCTCCCTCCTCCCCCCCCCCCGTACCTTTCCCTCTATGGCAGAGTCTGAGCCCGGGGAGCATCAGCCAGAAAAGTGAAAGTTTTGGAAGGTCTGAACAATTTTAAACAAGAGCTCAGAAAGTAAATCATTATGTAGGCCTTAAACAAGCGTGGTCCTAAACACAGAGTACTACAAAACTGCGGCTTCTTACTGCTTCAAAAAGAAAGGTCAGGATTCCTAAACTGGTGGACACAGCAGCCTACTCCTGGATAAAGTATGAAAGATTTGTATGGGAAAAGAAGAATTTTTAATGTTGGTAAGACATCTCAAAACTATTCAACTCTTGGGAGGGGCCAACAAGAGGGTGCAAGAGAATGAAATAAAAAGCCCACACTTATGATTTGGATTTCTAGCCACAGACAGAGGAAAAAACCCACCACAATGAACCATTACTTTCTGCTGAATTAATCTATCATTTTTCTGCATGGCCTTGTAGTGCTGCCAGTTAGCCGTGCTGAGCCAATCTTCAGAGAATTATCTAAGGTGAACCTTGAGGTTGCCTGGATACATCCTGAAAGCTACCATGGGCAAAAGGTAGACTTTGGAGATAAGCAGTGTTTCCATTTTGGATTTGAAGAATGTGGGAGAGAAGAGACTCTCAATCTGAGAGTCAAAATTTCCTTCTTCCTGGAAATGGAGGGGGGGGGGAGAGGAATTTAATCCAGAAAATAAACTCCCTGAGAACCCAGCTCTCCTGACATATCCTTTATGAGTCAAATAGTCAAGCACTTAGGTGAAAGGAGATTAATTGGAAAATTTTATTATTTGAGGCATTCTTGTAGATTACCAAACAAACAAACAAACACTCTCCTCTTTGGGCCAAGGACTGTGTATTAGTATTATTACACAGTGTATTATTATTAGTGCACAAGTTTTATTCTCAGTCTTCAGTTTCTTCAAACAATTATCCTTCTATCCCATTTAATCAGAGTAAAATATATGCTCACAGCCTGTGTTGTCAGGTGTCCTATTATGAAGGATACTATAAAATGCTCCCCAAACACCCTCAAACCCAAACACTTCCATTTATCTTTTTGCAGAAATAAATCAAATGAAGAAATGCATCAATATCTAAACAATTGGCTTGGATTCATGGAAGAAGTGTCTGTAGAGTAGTATGACAGCAGGTTTAGTGTGCTCTTAACTATTTATTACAAAACGTAATAAAGAGAGTTAACCCCTGGAAGACAGATAGTCTAATTTCTTGCTGTGCCATTCCACTATTTACAGGGAGAGGCACCAATTATATGTGTTAGTATCTCAGTGGGCCTGTGGTTATTAAGCCCGTACAATACCACTGACACCAGTTTTCCCTGCCTTGCAGGCATAAAAAGAGGCAAGACACAAAGAAGAAAAGAAAAGTTTTAAATGAAGATTAAAAAACAACAACAACTTCATTTTAAAATTAGCCACTTTAAGAGTATTTTTCCCCCTTTTAGATGCTTTTCCATTGGCTTTCATGATCAACCTAATTGGCAGCAGGAGGAGAAAGAAGTATGATTTCATAAAAATAAGAAGCCAATTCCTCACTTTGAAGCTAAAGTTGCCTCGGAAACACTGCTGCTTCCACAGCCATCTAATTTTGCCTCTTTTGTCCCATGGGACCAAGCTTTAGAGAAGCATCATTTATTTACAGGCCTTTCCAGTGGGCTTCAGTTATCGGCCAATAATACTGTGGACGGTACACACACTTCTAATGGCCTATGTTTTGAAACCAAGTCTAATCTAATGGCGCAGAGCCCAAACTCCTTTTCCAGCATAGCCATTAAAGGATGTAGGTTATTGCTGTTGTCACCATTGATATTTGTCATTGTAATGTAATTAGGGCCCTAAAATGATGCATTACAGCCCTTGGCACAGCTTCTATTAAAATCTTTTCTTCTGCTCACTGAACTGCGACCTGCTTTCTGATGAATAACAGACAGACAGCTTTAGGGTGAGGAGCAGATTCATCAAAGTAATTTTTTTCAGCTAAAGGGGGGGGGGGGGGGGAAGCGGAGAGGGAAAGGGGAGGGAAGGAGACTAAGAAGAAAAGCACAAGAAAAAAAAGCCACACAGCAATTTGAATTTCATCTGACCACTTGACATTCTGATTGCATCTGATGAATCTTGCTTAGGACAATATATTCCCAGCCTGCGAATCACATGGT